CAGGTGAGAAGCACCTGGCGTGCCCTGTGAACATGTGCAGCCGTGCAGAAGGCAGCCACAGGGTGCTTGGGTCAGTTCAGCCGATGCTGTGTCCCACATTACAAAATCCTCACATGACTGAGAGGCTTAAGACACAAGCAGCATTCATTCCAAGAGGCTGGGACAAGATCTGAGCGGGTTTTACAAGCGAGACATGTCAGATGTCACCCAGGGGATTTGCCATGGAGTCCTGGGATGGGGCCAGGTTGAGCAGATGACATCCAGTGCTGATCCAGCAACAGTTCCCTTGGCAAACAGGGAATTATTTTGGGTGGCTGGGGATCCAGATCACACAGCAGTTCCTGTCCCACTGCAGCAGGAACAGTGTACCTACAAATCACTGTGAAGAGGCACAGTTGAATGGAGATACCTCCAAAAAAACCTTAGTCTCAGGAGCCTGAAGATACCACAACAGGTTGAAATGCCTGCAAATTCAACATTTCTTTGAAGAGAAATACAGGGAAGAGAGACTTTTCACCAATTTTGGGTTTCAATTTTTGCTGCAGGCATACACAGGGTTGTTGTTTCAATGCTTTGAAAGGAGCAGAAGCTGTTAATATTCCTGAGCATAATGTTCAACCTAAGCTCTCTCTTTAGGGAACATTTCAGGTTGGGTTAAGCAGGCTAACCACAACTGTGCTGTTTCAATCTGTTCCAAGCACAAATCAGTTTATGTCTCCCTGCAAAACATTCTGTAAGCTCCTCTGGTGGCCTGATTTGTAAAGGTGATACTCACTCACATAGGTAAAGCTGTAATGCTGCCCAGATCACCCTTCTGTGCCTCAGTTTCCTTATCCCAAACACAATAAACCCCATCCTTCATGGCCTGGGTGTGTATGGTGTCATACAAATATTGTTATTTATGGTGATGGGAATGTGAGCTTTGTTTGGTACAGTGGTCTGGGGGTGTCTATTTGCCATCACTTGGAAATGACAGGAATCAACCTGCACGTTTGAAATGTTGTTATTGCTCTCAGACAAACAGAATTACCTCCTCCTTAAAACCAAAGATAATCTGTTCAACTTCAGTGAGATGTGGTGATGTCCACAGGAAAAAAAAAAAATCATTTTTGGCAAGTGGAGGCAGAATTTTCTTTGGCAAGTTAGAAGAAGCATCAAAGGAAGAGAAGGATGGGATGCAGCACAACTGGTTTTAATCACACAAAAGAGTGAAGTTGCTCTGGACAGGCCTTCTGTCTGATTTGCCATTGTCAGCACTCTGGGAAAAAACCAAGTGAATGGCACAGAGGTACTCAGGGCTCCTGGTGGACTAACTGGAAAAGCTTTTTCCAGCTGGCAGGAGGCAGTGCTATGCAGTGTGCTGGTTCCATGACTGATTTTTGGCGTGTGTTTGGTTTTCCATGTCCCTGCCTTCTTTTTGAAGCTTCTCAGACCACACCGCCCTGCTGTTTATTCCAATGAAGATGTTGAGTTGGTTGTAACGAGGATGTGCTGTCACTGCACAGCCACTGGAGAGAGGGGAAGCTCTGATTTCAGTCCAATCCTGCTCTGGGGGTGTCAGCTGCCTCTTCTTGCCTGTCAAAGAGGCTCCAGTGGCTGCTTCCTAGACCAGGTGTGCTGAGCTGCCTGAGTGGATGGGACAGGTCTGGACAAAGAGAGCTTGGGGAAATGCTTCTTGACAGGGCTGTTCCTCTTGAAATCAGTTTCCTCTGGAAATTGCTGACTTGTTTCACTAAATTTAGGGACAGGGAATGTGCTGATTTTATTAGTGATTCTGTAGGAAACTGATGTTTCACTTCAACTATTTCAATGCCATGTAATGTATTACACTGTCACCTCACATAACATCTCAGTTCAAACCAGCTTGTATCAACATCCAAACAAGAAAGTCAAGCTAAAAATATCTGATATAATTTCAGTACTTCTGAAACAAAGCATTTCAGCACACCCATTCAGCTGCATGCTTCAAAATGATGGTGCTCCCTTCCAGTCAGGAACAAAAGGACATTTGCAATGTCTGAATTGCTTTTGGAACATGAACAGCTTGAGCTGTGATGGTTGCTGGAGCTGCATGGCTGGGGTTGCTGGTCAGAATGCTGCAACAATTGTTTCTCTACATTTTGTGGGGCTGCAGTGGTGTTTGGAGGCCATGGCCAGGGCTTGAGGCTCACATTCCTATAACAAAGGTAATAAATGGTTTTCAGTTACACAGAATAGGAGCACTGGACCTGTTATGGGGAAACCGAGTGACACCAGAACTTGGGTGGTGGCCAGGCAGAAATGGGATTTATTGTGCTTTGGCTAAGCCTTTACTTGGTGTGATGGCCTGGGAGGAAGATCTGATGGAAGGGCAAGCTGGGTATTTCCCTAATCACCTGTCAGTGGGGAATGAGGACTTGAGCTTGAAGGACTCTCAGCACTCTGTGAGTCTCAGACAGGGTCTTGATCTTGGGTTAAATCTCTGGAACATCAAGATCAGGACAAGTCTTAAATGAGCACCAAAAAAATGGGATTGAAACCCCCTCTGCAATCCAAGGAGCTAAAAACTTCTTTACATGAATGGTTTAAATAACATGGAAGTTGAAGCAGAGCCATTGAACTGACTATCCAGTCCTTGAACACCAAAGAACAACTGATACATAGATGATTTCTAAGCAAAATCTTCTGTTTGAAATTTGTGATTATTTATCATCATAATATACTATTGGTAAAATGCAGACAACCCTGAATTTCTAAGCCAAGAATGGCCCTTGCCCAAATTAAGGAACATTTAAGAGTGGCCTGTACTACATGACTGGGGGTTCTTGAATTAAAATATGCCTCAGAAAGGGAGGAAACCAAAATATTATTCAGCCTGCAGCTTTCTCATGCATTTAAGCTCCTGAAGGACTTGTGTTTCTTTACTCTTGAGATTCATTATGTCACCAGAAAAGCTTTACTATTTTACTGTGGAAGCAACATAGCCATGAAACATTAATTTCCAGGAATGTGGAAACCATGAAATATGGGTTTTTCTACTAAATTAAGATTTTGCTTTTCTCTCTTCTCACATAGTTAAGGAAACCAATTTTCATTATATATATAATGTATATGCATCCTGGAAATTCTAATAGGAAAGATACACAAAACACAGGAAGTACATTTTTACATTGAAAAATGTATTTCACTGGTAACCACACCAGCCATTTATATTCCATTTTTCATCCTGAACCACTTTGCTTTCTATATCCACCTTGGAACCACACCTCTCATTACTGAACTGCACCCACTCTGGTGTGTACATGACATTGTGCCCTGTAAGACTTGGCAGCTGTTTAGATTTGTATAAAATTCTTTATTCCCCCATTTCCACGATGTCATTCCCTCACCACTGCAGGGACAACACCACTGAGACCTGCCTGGCACAGACACCCCTGCAAAAGGATCTCCAGCAGCCCCCAAGTATCTGCACCACAGCAAATGTCTCTGGCTGGAAGAAAAAATGGTGAAGGGCAAATTAATTTGTAATTCATATAAAAGAAAATATGTAAATATTCCCTCCTTTTTGCTCATGGGTGTTACTAATCACAGGACTGATGCCTCTTTCTTGATAAAAATGTTACTTACTCAATTTCCATCCAATACCAGCTGATCAGAATGGAAGAATTAGTCAAAACAATCCAGAAGCATCTGTGTCGTGGGAACCACAGGTTTTCAGGCTAGGAGAAACGCCAGAATATTCACCAAATCACCAGTGTGGTTTTCCTTAATGCTACAATTAGCGATGGAACATTAACAGAAGAGTTACTGGATAAGAGCTGATGGCAGAAAAGCCTTCTGCCATAAACTGGTAATTCTCAACATGTGCAAACACGTTGCCAGAGAAGATGAGTTATGCAATTAAAATCAAAATTGGAGATTTGTTATCAAAGCACAGCAATGTGTACTAAAATCCAGCTGAGAGGCTCCCTTATCTTGTTATCTTCAGGCTTCTTTTTTAGTTAATCTAACACAGCTGACAATATTTGACACAGCCAGTTGTGCCTGCTGTCATGTGAGGGATGTTTTATAGAGCTCCTTTCCACTAGCACAGAGAGATTTGTCATAGTCCAACTCTTTACAAAGTCTAAAAAGCTTTGCCAGGATTGCATTTCAGGGGAGTAAGATGTGATAAAAATTCTGAGAAAGTCAGAATGTTTCTAATGTTATCATTAATTTCTAAATTTTTTAACAGGCCTTAGTAACATTTTAAGTGGAAATGATGTTAAAAGTTCAACTCAAAAGAAACATTTGATTTTGTCTGGATAAAAAAATTAATCAGCTTGGAAAAATGTGGTTGTGTAGCTTTCCCTCATAACAAATTTCAAAATTTCCCCCTTCACATCTTTATAACAAAGCAGAATTCTGAATTTGTTTGCAAAATGAACTTCTGTCCTCCCACAGCACTTTCTGCCTCTATGAAGAGGACAAGAAGATTAATGTATAATTTCTGTGAGCCTTAAGGAGATGGGCTGCACGTCAGTATTTTCAAATCCAGGCTTATACAGCTGCTTTTTGAATATAAATCATAGCTTTTGGGTTACACTAACACTCTCTGCAGTTTAGCACAGTTGCTAATTAATACAATACTGTATTAGTTCTTCTTACAGTCTTACTATTAACGCTCTGTGAAATCCCATTAGCTCTGCATATGGTGCCAGACTTGTTCTGAATGTGGGAAAGAAAGAAATGTACAGTGGTATGAATAATAAAGAGAGGCTTTCAAGTGGTTTCCACTGTGAACATTCTGAAAAAAAAAAAAAAAAAGAAGAATATTTTCCAGAATGTAATATGTGGGGCAAGCTTTTCACAAAATTTCAATGCAAACATGCAGATATTTGTCAGCCAAGTTTTCCCCCAGAGTGTGAAATCCCTTATGCACCACTATTGTTCTACAGCAGAAACATCAGGAAGATGAAGTAGCTCCTAAAAATGGAAAATTAACCAGGTTGTTTTATTGTCCAAATTGACAGAAATTTAAAGTACAGGTAGAGAGGACAGTCAAAATTTGGGTGAAGTTTTCCAGAAGTTACTTGAATTTCCTGTTTCAGTGATCTGACAGATCCTTCTTAAATTCCAAGAAGACTTAAGTGCCATAGTAAAAACCAGGCTTGTTAATACCTCATACAGAACACCCCAAAATGAGTTAACACTTTTTAATACAGAAACTTCAGATCTACTTATTTTCTATTAGATGAATTTTGTACATTATTGACTTCTTAATGGAAGAGAGATCTGACAAGGAGTTTAGGAAAGCTTTTAAAAATGGAAAGAATGACGCAGCAGGTAGGATTTAGAAGCAGACTGTTCCTGGGAGAAGCTTTGTCACTCTCTCCCGACCCTTTAGGAGTTGCTGCCCTGGAGCAGGGCACGGTTAGGAGGATTCCAGGAGGTGCTTTTCTCCTTCCTAGTCCCATGGTTTATCCATAGTCCAGTCTCCCTGGGCAGTCAGGAGTGGCCAGGGCCTTTCTGCATGGCCAACATCCAGACAGGGACACACTGCTCAGGGAAGCCCTCCTGCCTCTCCTCCCGCAGGATGGTGAGTCCGCTCATTTCGATGAGGCTGTGCAGGATGTTCAGGTCTCGGATCACGCTGCTGTCCAGGCAATCCAGGGTGCAGCCCTCCCTGGCCACATTGTCCTTCAGGATGATGACACCGTTGTCCTTCAAGCCATCCTGGCAGCGGATGAGAAACTCCAGGAGATCTTTGTCTGTCAGATATCCTACAGGTGAGAAAAACTATTAACCATTCAGACATGCTGGAATTTGATCTAAGTCTCCATGGCCTGTTTATTGCAGAAAATTATTATTCAAGTCCTGCCAGATTTAACTATGAAATCTTGGGCAGATCAATGAGATCAGCAAGGATAAATTCCAATCAGTATTTTAGGATCTGTACTGGTAGCAGCAACAGATGTGGACAGAAGCCACTGAGGAGAGTGGAGAAAATAGTGGGTGCTGAAGGGTTCTTTAATCTGTTGGTTTAAGTTATAATAAGAATCAGTGGCAGGAAGCTGGAGCCAAACAAATTCATACAGGGAATAAGTGACAACTGTTTAACAGTGTGAGCAATTACCCATTGGAAACTACCAACAGAAGTGGGGTTTACCACCTCTTGAAGTCCTCAAACCAAGTGTGGTTGAATCTTTCAAGATATGTTTTAATTGAACACAAACTGCTGGCTTAGCACAAGGGTAAAGGAATGAATAGAACAGCTTGGGATATAGACTAGGTCAAACTAGATGATCCCAGTCCCCTCTGGCTTTTACTGCTAAACATTTCTGTAATTTTGTGTAGCACTGTATGCCCATCAGAGGAGTTCTGGATCAAAGATCCAGCAAAGAATGCAAGACCTTCCAAAATGCTAATTAAACCCCTCATCTTGCTCCATACTCCATGGGATTTTTGCAGATAGGTATATATTTTAAAACAGTGCTTTTCAATATGTTGTTGAGATTCTGTCTTTATCCTTCTCAAAGATCAGGAGTTCTGTTGAGAAGAGTGGTGTAGAGCTCAGAGAAGAGCAAAATGAGCACTCTCATGTGTGAAATATCTAACATGAATAAACAAGGACGGGTGATTGGAAACTGAATGAAAAACTCGGAAAAAATAATTACCTGTATTTTCTAGTTAAACTATTTAATTTTCTTTTATAAATGGAAGTTGTCATTTCAAAACCACATTTTGACATAGCATGTCAAGTTTCTTTAACCACTCCTAACAAAAAAAAAAAAAAAAAAAATTAGAAAGAAAAAAACCTTGAAACCTAAAGCTGAATACCTTTCAAGTTGAAGGAAAATTGTAATTTCTGTAATTTCTAGATGAAATGTAAGCTTGCACTTTTACTTTTTTCACAAAATGACTGCCAGGGTTCACATGCTTATGCATGCATAAGACAAATCAAGATTTCATTGGCAGGATTGATCAAAGCTTTTGAACACCTAATCTGGAATTTATTTGTCTCTTTACTTGGCTTTTAGTGTAGTTCCCTAAGAAAATGAGATCTTTGAGGTGTTGCTCTTTAGCAGACAGTCCTGCCCTCACCCCATCAAATTAATTTGTTGTCATATTTCAGCCAAATTCAAGATAGGGGTAAAAGTTTGATTAATGATTAAGATGACTCCATATTTCCTTGTCACTGATGGAAAAAGAAGATTCAGATCTATGTCTGTATTAAGAATATGATATGCTCCCTTAGTTAGGAGCCACAAATCTGACCAGCACAGCCTCAGATAGGTCTAAGATAATTCCTTAATAACTCCTCATTTTGACTTGGATTTGCTCAAAAGGTGAGGCAGGAGCTACATTTACTGCAATGACTCATTATTAAAGAAAAGCAAAACTACAAGGGCAAATTATGCTGGTCTGAAGCAATTTGTTCAGACCTCCTCTTGGACAATTCCTTCTGCCCTCTGAAACTGTACCATGGACACTTTGGTTCACAGAGTAGGAGAAAACCTTCTCTCCACTGTGTAGAATTTTATTTTTTATTTTTTATGTATTTATTTTTATTTTTATTTATGTACCTTGGTAAGGTACATATCTGATTGCCCTAAATGCTGCAGGGGTGGCTGCAGATGGAGAAGAAGCAGATGTTTCTTACAGGAGGGGCTACTGTGGGACATAGCTATGGGAACCTGTCTGATAAACATCAGTGCACATAATAAAACCTGATCTGATTTACAGGTATTGGTGATTCCAATTGGAATTGATTGAAATTTCAATCCACTGAAAAATCCAATGGCTTTTTTCCTGACTGTTTCCTGAAATACCTCCAAACTTGGATAACCAGCAGATTCAGATACCACTGTTCGCAAGTGTGGTCAGGCCTGTGTACCTCTCTGCACCCCAACTAAGAAAGAGTATTTCTACTCCAGAAAATCCATATATAAGGCCTCCCTCTCAGCTGCACCTTTGCATGCAGGCTGCTCTCCAGGAACTGATACATTTCTCCAATATGTGACCTGAAAAAACCAACTTGATTTGTATCCTCTGTGCATGTGGCTTGAGGGAAGTCTCTCATGATGCTTCAGGAAGTAGTCCCAAAGATTTGAGAACCTCCTTTGAGCACAGGCTGCCTGTTCTGTGAGATGTCAGGCTAGGAGGATCACGCAGAACTAACCTGAAACCCACTGAATCCAGATGACATCGTATCTTCGCGGGGCCGGCGTGAATTCCTGGAGGCTTTTGCAGTAATACATTTCAACTCTGTCCTCCTTGCCCTGCAGGTAGTTGGGGACCTCAGCCAGGAAATTCTCCATCATATCCACCAGCTCCACACTCTGGAAAACCGGCAGCAGGACGTGCTTGCTGATCCGACCGATCCCAGAGCCACAGTCCAGGGCGCGGCTGGTGCCAGCTTTCCCCACCCCCTGTGGGATGCACGAAAATTATTTGAAATCTGAAAAACACCACCTGAAAAAATCACAGCAACTGTGTTACCCACTGTCTGTCCAACCAGCCTGGTGTCTTCCTATCTTTGCAGGGCTGTTTGGAGATGGATAAGAACCAGCAGAGATTTGGGGACTGCTGTCTGAGCTGGGCTGGGCTGTCACATTCCCAAGCTGCTGCTGCTGCTGCTGCTGGGACTTCTCGTTGCATTTTCTGCTGTACAGGAAGTTTTTGCTTGGTGTAAGAAGAGACAGAGGCTTTCACAAGCCCCTAGCTTTCTCAGAAGATCCACTGCTCTTTGTAAAAGTCCTTGCAACTTCAAATGCTCACACCTCACAGGCAACTACGTGGCTAGATAAGCCTCATTCTGTGCCCTGTAAAGGCCGAACAAAAAAGGAGGTGTCCACCAAATACTGCATGCAAGCAGTTTTCAAATTGTGTTTGAACAAAGATCTTGGAGTGGCAGGTAACTTATGACAACTCAAGAAGTTTGGGCTGGAGCATATACAGAATTTCTCTTTTAGGCATGGAGAGAAGAAAGATGATTGACTAGATTTTGCTTAACTGTTCCTTTTTTGTTCATAAATGTCATCTTTGGACAGAGATCAGACATGAAGAAATGTGGCACAAAGCCTGTGACTATGAGAAAGTAATGAAGGACTGTAAAAGAAGCTTTATAATGAAAGCTGTATTTCACCCCTAAAGCTTCCACTGTAGCTATAAAATGGCTCTTAAGAGCCTGCTGCTGTTCTGTAAAACAGAAATTCTGAGTCTACACATGCACTGACTGTGGGATAGGAGCTCCCCTGGCCAAAGCTATCTGTTAAACAAATATATTAAAAGCAAATGTAAACACCTTTTCCCTGTCCTCTGGAACTGAGCGGTGAAGTGAAAGCTGTGGGCAAAAGTCCCCGCTGCAACTTCACTGCTCTCAAAGGCAACAAGCCCAGGAAGAGTCTTGTCCTTCTTGCTTATTGGGAGAGCCCCACTTTGTGATGAACCAAGCATAAATCACGTAACTCACACTTTTTTGGCCAGGCTTCAGTGGGTAATTCAGTAGATTATTAAGGTCAAAGGACAGCACTGTCAATGACATGACTATGAATAGCCCAGGAGAGCATCTGATTACACAGAGTAATTGTAGAAAGAGCACATGGCCCTCAAGGGCTCTCACCAGTCTCCAGGGCTGCTGCTCCCAATTTGTATGCCCAGGAAGATTAATCTCCTGATGTGTGCACGAGTCCACAGACCTTCAACCCTCTTGGGCTCTGGAGACTACCTGTTTGTAGTTAGCCAGAAAATAGGAGCCATTCCTCATCCACAGGCTGCACTTAGGAGCACGTGGCTTTTACTGAGGACCAGACTAAGAGGCAACAAGGAGTTCAGGAAAGGAGAAGGAACTGTGTCTTGGGTCTTTACAAGGTGGATTTACATACTGTTGGCTGGCAGATACATACACTGATGAGATTAACTAAAAATCTTTGAGAAAGCTGCTGGGAAAACTGGGATGATTTACCAAAACCACCAACAGAATTAGACGAAAAACAGGTAATTCCTTCAACATTTGTGTTTCACAGAACCTGCTGTCACAGTGCCTCACTCAAAACAGGGAATTCATCTCCCATGACACGACACAGCAAGGACCTCTGATGGCACATCTCTGTGTGAACCATCGAGAAGAAGGAAAGGGAACAGTCATGGGAGATGAAGTTGGATCCCACACTTTGCTGAAAAGGAGTGAGAGCTTTGAGCAGTCAGTTGAGAAGCCCTGTGAAACACCACGGCTTCGTTTGTAATGAAAATGTTGACATAATTCCATGTTCAGCTAATATATTTTCAGTTTGGAAGTGCTCAGGGCTTTGACAGAGTATTAACATTTTCTTTGGAAGGCAAGCATTTTCCCAAAAGTCTAATTGAGTTGAAAATCAGACTCCTTATTTAAAAAAATAGTATAAGTGAAAACTGTAAGCCAGAACAGGCTTCAGAATTTGAGACTGACTGCTCCTCTGACTACTTGCTTCCCATTACTCAGAATCACTGTCCTTTAGGACACATATACACCCCAAAATTGTTCTCTAAAGCTAAACAGGGCACTCATAAATTTCATTCTGAATAGAAGAGCTGTGGGATATGTTCCTGGTGCCACTTCAGGTCTTGGAAGAGCAAGAAGGCAGTGAAGCTATGTAGGACAAAAAAAGGAATCAGAGTTCCAGAAATAGATAAAAAATCCCAGTGGTTTTCCTTCTAAATAAATAAATAAAAGAAGAGCACATTTTCAACAACATCTCTTCTATCACCCTGATCAAACTGGAGAAAAACCACTTTCAAGAAGTTTTCACTCAGCAAGTAACCAATCACGCCAGGTGAGCTGGGGGCAAGAGACGGAGAAAACGTTGAGGGCAGAGAGGGAGCCATAAAGTCAATATAATCTCCATCTGTAACATTTTACACACCTACAGCTCACAACCAACGCCGAATTAATGCCTCCTTTGTTTTCTTTATTTCCTTTTTTCACTCGCTACCTCCGGATTAGGCGCTTGGAAACACGGTGGCCGTGTGGACATCGAGGCACGAGCACGCTGCCAAAAATATGCAGGGCTGGAGCTGTGCTGATAACCCTGTACCTGAGACAGCCTGGAGCTTGTCTGCAGAGCACTGCTGGCTCAGGTCATGTTGCTTTTGGGTTGAGTTCTGCCCACACACACATAAAACCTCTTAACTCGAGCACAGTGGCACTTTCAACTCCGTTCGACTCGCCCGCGAAGGAGTCGGGAGAAAATATAAGCGAAGCCCTCAGTCCCTTTCTGTAATTCCTTCCATGTGCCCAAGCAAGATAAATTCTCCAATGGTAAAGAAATCTGTAGCTCAATTTACAGTGGGGCTGAGGATCATGCTAAGAAATGCCATAGCTGAAGGTATGCAACATCAGTCATGGAAGGGAAATGTCACTGTGTGGCATTTCCACGCCAGCCAAACTAACTCAAGAAGGGAAATTTGAGTGGAACCGGGCAAGTATTTTTATTTTTTTTTTTTTAGGGAGCACCGTTTTTGCCAGAATGTAAAGTTTTAAATGAATGAAACTCTCTGTGAAGCTGGTATTTCAAATCTAGAGAATACTTTTTAAAAAACATGGGAAAGAATGTTGAAAATGTCAAAGTACTTTTTTTTTTCTCATAATTTTCGTGGAGAAAAGAAACCAAACTTGTCAACTTTTCATCTCCAAAGGGCATTTTTTATTTAGGAACTTATTAGGAATTTATTTATTTATTTTATTATTTTTTATTTAGGAACTGACTTGAGCTCTTGAAAACAAAAGGAAAAGTTTTTCAGAAGGTGAAAAAATAATTGTTCAGTTGATCTGAAACAAATTTTCTTGTTTTCCCATTTTGTTAAACTTATCTTAAAAAAAGAGAAAGTATATTAGGGTGAAGCAGATTGGTTTTTTCTATCTTTATCAACTTTAAAAAAATAATTCATAAAATTCATTAAATTTATTAAAATTCATTAAAAAATTCATAGAGGCATAAACTTGGTAGGACAGTTCATTAGCTTTATTACAAAGTCACTGCTACAGAAAGCCACTAAATATCTGTATCTGATTGAGCAGGATTCAAATTTCAGTAGTAAGAAAGGAAAATAAGCCATAAGTAACATAATCAATTGACTACATCTCAACAGAGGACAGGCTTTAATAAACTAAATCAGAATAAGCAAAAGGTGCAGACCTTTCTGTTCCTTTTTTATTTTTTTCTTGTTTGATCTTGGCCATTCAGAGTATCCTTTCTATCCCTAGCTAATTATAGGAGTAGAAATTTTGCTCTGGAGTATTTTGGATCTGTCATCACAGCTGATGCATTGGGTATGATTCCTTTTTGGCATGTGAAACTCTGTCACAGACTGTACTTCTTTCCTTTTCGGGTCTTGGAGAGGAGAAAGCGTAACAGTGTGACACAAACCTGCTGCAGGAAACTGCATCTATGTGGTGTCTAGGGAGGGTGAAATCTTCCCCTGAGCACACACTTATGCACCACTTGAATTCCACAAATGTCCTTAAAACAAGCCTTAAATAAAATTTACGGAATGTGCCTCGACTGCATTTCATTTTTCCTCTGAAAATGCCGCTTTCAGAAACGTCATTCAGAAATGTTACCATTGGGCTCAGCTCCTTACTGAACCTCCTTTGTATTTTCTCATTTTGTGATACAGGGAGGCTCTGAGAAGCCTCTTCTGCCTCAGCATTGATACAAATGATTTGTTGATGTGGAAAAATGCAGCTATTCACTCGTGTTTTGCTGGCTCATGGCCCCAGAAGTCTCCCTCTATCGGGTACAGCAAACTTTGCCATCGTTTGCCCTCCCCTGCTCTGCATGATTTCTGTTTTCAAGCCACACTCATTTTCCATCCCAATCCATTTAAACTGTGCCCTTTTTTTTTTCCCATATACAACATCTAATTAACCTATTGAGCTTTCTTCCCACAGTGAATCGTTAAGGCTAAAAAAAAAAGGTCATCTGGCTATCCCAAATTTGTGCATTTGAGCAGAAAATTAAAGATCTATGGTAGCATTATATAGAACTAGTCATTTTGTCAGCAGGAGAAGTTAACAAATTTGTTTGTGGATTCTTTAACATGTAATACTGTTGTTGAGCTGATTTAGTGGGCTCCTTCCCTGGGAAGAGGGAAGGGCAGTCACAAAACCATCAGGCCACACTTCTAAAGATTTTCAGATTTTCAAAGACAGTTTTAGGACTCAACATGATTTTCAGAAACCTAAGGACCAAAGTGATACTGCTTTTAAAATCCCACTTGGCATCTCCTTGCCATTCAGGCCAAAGCAGACCTTTCAAGATGTTTACATCCTGACCTTTTGCAATCTGCATGAAAAGGTGTTCAGTGACACTGGAATGTTTACGGAAAAATATTTTGCCTAATATGTAGTTTATTCTATGTACTTTTCGTGTGTGGGAGATGGTGGGTTTTGTTGCAGCATTCTCAGAAATACCTTTAAATAGGCAAACCAGAAACTGGGCATTTATTCTCAGCTAGTTTCCCAGCTGGACTGCAAGAATTTGCATAGACAAATCTGCCAGTGAAGCCAACAAAGATTTTATCATGAAAGGTCCCAGTCCTGCGCTCAGAATTAATCCCTGGCTCAAACCCAGCTACAAGAACTCCTTGCACAATCCTCATTGGAGCTTGGGAGCATTAGAAAAGGATGTAAATCAGTTGAATAACGATGTAAGACCAGGCAAAATGTGTGTTCATGCTGATGAATGACCTGGCAGAACACATGACTAGACCCAATGACAGCGGTGACCTCTGCAAATCGAACGTGACACACGGTGCCATTTAAATCGGGTGTGGCGGTAGAAGTGTTTGGCCCTGGCGTAGAACTGCATCTCCCCGTTGATGACTTGACTTGTCAGAGCGTAAAGTTTCACTGCAAGCAGATAAATCACCATTTTATGGTTAGTGACAGATATTTCTGGCTTAGTTGATTGATGATGAAGACCTGTAAACTTAAGTTGAGCCTTCAAAACACCAAATCTGTTTCTACAGCAACGGGTGGAGGAAAGGCGTTGGATTGAATCCTACGATACCTCGAAGGGATCCAGCTCTCCTCATGCAAATTTGGTGCTTTCCAGGTTCAGAAGTCATTTCAATCATCACATCATGTTTTTGTGGCAGTGAAAAATCACTTCAGGTTTGAAGTGAACACACATGCCGAGGACATGAAGCGGTCTGATTTTTCCTGGAAAAGCTGTGGGCAGCATTTACTACTATGCAGGGTCACCACTGCTGCTATCACTGACCTAAGTGTTGTGCAGATTTCCAGCTATGCTTTCCAGCTATTGACAGCTGCACGGAGAGTGCACCAGGAAGAGAGTGGATGAATGAGGCACTTGCTCTGGTTTATTTTTAGTGATACTGTATGGTTCAGTAAGCTGAACCAAGGAGCAGATGGTAGTCTCAGGCCGAAATGAGTACACAGGGGGGACACAATTTAGAAGAGACAGTCCTAAATTTTCATCGGTCCCAGGTCAAGGAGCAAGGTAATCAGTGAGTGATAGACTGAAAGGTTCTTGTGTGTGTCAGAGGCTTGGATGTTTCTTTCCATTACTTGGCAACATTGCTGGTAACATACAGAAATCAGTAGTTTTAAGCTGTTTTATTACTTAAACTTGTGAGGTTTGCTGATTAAAGGGCTATTTTGCCCTGTTCTTTAAAAACTGAGGTATATCCTCTCCATCCTGGGTTTTTCTGTACTCGATGTGCATCAGCATATCAAAAGTATGGATTCAAAGCTCAAAAGTTTGGATTGAGTCAGGCTATAAATTTTGCTTGGAAATCATCACCTCTGACCTCATGTGTGCACACAACTGTCCAGGCATTCTCCTGTGTGTGTGACAGACCCTCCAACAAAAATGTGGACATGATTTTCTGAACCAAAGAGAGTTTCAGGCTCTCGGTAGCTGATCTGTTTCCCAAGGGAAAGTCTTTTAGGAAACTTTTCTCTCCCGAAGACTGTTGTGTAAATAAGATTTCAGTTCTCAAAACAATGTTACACAGATGTTCTGAGTGTTTTTTCTCTTATCCCACCAATGGAATGAGAGAGGTGCTGTTCCTTATACCAATCAAGTTAACCTGTATCAGAACATCATATAAAAAAGTTTAAAACCCCGAAATATTGAGGCAGGCTATAAATTTTGCTTGGAAATCATCACCTCTGACTGTCTCACCTGTGCACACAACTTCCCAGGCGTTCTCCTGTGTGTGTGACAGACCCTCCACCAAAAACACAACTCCAGGCCTGACAGTGGAAGCCAAGCAACGAGGAGGGACAAAGTCACGCCGGGAACAAGGCTTTGCAAACACCACCTTGCAGTGTGAGCCCAGCTCTGCTGCTGCTTCCCAGCACTCTCAGGGAACTGGAAATGATCCAGCAGCAAACACCTTCTGAGTCCATGAGAGGAGAGAGAGGGAGAGCTCCCTGCCAGCTGCACAGAAGGACCAGGGAGCAGTTCTTTGTCCCTGCATCTTCAAGCTTTCATGGGAGCACTGCCAGCTGCTGCTGGGAAGGGGCTGAAGAGGCTCTTGCAGGCCAGGGAACAGGAATTATGCCCTCCACACAGAGGAGGAGAGTAAGGCCAGAGGCCCTGAATATAAGCCTGGAATGTATTTAATTGAGGGCAAGCAAGCTCAGCAGGGAATGATAAGTGCGTGCCTGCCCATCCTCAGCAGGAGAGTGACATTTTGGAGGCAAATGAGGGGGGGACAAAGGAAGTAGGATAGGGAATAATTACCACCAAGGACCACTCGGAACAGAATAGTGCTATTGGGTTACATATAAGCAGCATGCCCAGCATATCCCTCATCCAACAAAAGCAGCATTACCAGCCCCTCTTGTCATCACCTGCTTAAGTCAACTGCTGAACGGATACTATTAAAGCTTTAATCCATTACACATTTATGTTATGCCTGAGAAATTTATACCACAAGAAGCACTGAGCCCAGCAAGGGTCAAACCTGGGAGTTTTACACACTCCACTGATTATATTCACATACTCAGAAGAAACCGTTTGGCTGAAGAAATTAATATGAAGGGGGCAGCAGCCAATCCCCAGCACAACTTGGCCAGGGTGGCTCTCAGAGCCTGGGAAAAAGACTCCATCAGTAGCTGGGATTTTTCCAGTAAGGGATCTCTGTCCTTAGCCAGAAATGGCACCATCTTGCCTTCTCTGTGTCTCCTTTTGCTCTGTTTCAGAGGTCAGCCTCTCTGCTGAACAGAACTGAATCCCTGTATGTTGGCTTTGTGAGATCTCCCATAGAAGAACCCAGTGATGATTCCAGGGGTTGTTTCATGGACCTGTCAAGGGACAGTGATTTATTCCATTTTGCTAGATTGAAAGGAAAGGCATTTGCAGGCTGTCTGCGCACCAGGAGAGCATGAACAACAAATATTCAGAGTCCTTCTACTCAAAACACGAGCCTGACCTGCGGCAACACATGGGGACGATATGGTGCTGAGGATATCAGATCTGGAGTGTGTGCTCTCACGTTCCTCACTCAGAACCAATATCAGGCTTGCAGAATTCCTGTCAGGATTTGCATGCACACACCAGCTGACTGCAGCTTCTCCTGGGCCATCTGGGGCCCCAGAGCCCTGATTTACGTGCTGGCATCCGAAATCAGCTCTGGGTGAGCATCCACAGGGGCTTCTCTATGCATTAAGTCGTGCAAAGATGTTTTTATGTATGTCTCCCACCCTGGGGCATGCAAGGACACAGGCCAATGCAAACAGAAGCACCAGAGTTTTCTCCTGTGGACCCACAGCCTCACTTGTGCAGTGTGAGATGTATAGAGGTGATTCCCACCTCTTGCTCCCTCACTCTCAGGAATTTGCAGCACTGCCAACTCTCCCAATGCACAGCCCAGTTTTCCAGACACAGCCAATCAACCTCACCTCTGATCTGCCTCGCAGCTGTGCCTGGCACGCAGGCTCCAGCAGCAGCACCACAGGGAGGAGGAGGTTTGCCAACTTGCAGGAATCTACCCCAAAAGAGAAGCACCACATGTACTTGGGGACAGTGCCTCCCCCTCAACAACAGGACCTGCCTAGCCAGAGGCATCTCCCTTCCCATAACCCGTGTGGGACTGCCTCATGCATCAGGAAATGAAATAGTTGTGAGGCCTGCTATGAGTACACAGCTTGCCTTCAATGAATTTTGTAAAGTAGGGCATGAGCAGGATAGAACGAGGCAGGCTGCGACTTCCTCAGACATCACAGGGCAGGCAGCTGTCTAACATATGAAGTTTTCAGTGTTAAGGCAGGTAACTTGTAAGATTTAAAGTCAGAAATGTGTTTCCAGTAAAGAGGAAACTTTTTCATGGCACGCTTGTCCCTCAGCTGAATCTGCTGGCAAGTCCCCAGGAGGAGATGGTTGAAGCAAACCCACTGCTCAAGAAGGCTGAGGGCATGAACTGGCTCCCTAAAGGTCACTCCAGTCATGAGACATCAATAATTTTCAGTCACTGCAAACACAGTCTGGATGCAGAGTGGTGATCTACAGCTGAATGCCAACCAAGGTGGACTAGACAGACACTATCCACCTGAGCCTTTTTCCCTGCAAAGTTCAAAACATTATCTCTCACATTTTCTTATGGATCAGTTAAAGATGTTGTTTTCTGGTCTAAATATCTAAAGAAAGGCACCACTTAATATGTAAAACCCAGTGCAATCCCAACCTGCAGTACTCTGACTTACAGTTCTTGACTTCAGGGTTTCCTCAACTAAATTTCCCTGGCAGAAGTAAATGTTGCAAGTAATTTTTTTGAAGTTTTTATTTGTGAACATTATTTTGTGGCTCCAATTGCTTTCTGCAAGATACTGAACTAATTCCAGTTTGGCTGAGTGCTCCCTTTTAAATGCAACATCTGCTTTGTGCATCAGCTGAAAAATAGTTATCTCTGTGCACGCTAGAATCTACCTCTCTACTGTGGTCTGTGCACCATGTAAATTCTGTTTTATAGAGGATGAACATCATCCCACTCCCAAAGCAGATTTTACTTACAGCCACGTGCCTCACACACAGGAATATTTGTCTTCAGGGATGGATCTTCTCAGTTTTCCCCTGCAGATCTCAGCCCACTGGCACCAAGTCCCACAGCCCGTGTAAACACATGCATAATTTCCAGCATTTGAGTAGCTCCAATAAAGTCCACTGGGCTTAAGTGCTCTCACACACATTTAAGTACATTGTTGGATCAGGGCCTGAAGTTACTCATGTCTTTTATTTATAAATGTTAGCCTGGTCTGTAAAAGTGACATGTTTCTCTTAACAGGCTGTGATACCAGATACGCTCAGCTCCTAAGTAAACACGCCTAGGAGAGCTCCACCACTGAACCCAGCAATGGAATGGGGGGAGTGGAGTTCGCAGAGTTTGAAGGAAGATTTGGACTTTGCTGGCCCTGGGCAGCACTGCAGGATTCAGTGTGAGGCTTGGTTTCAGGGTTGTTACTCCTAAGTAGGGTTAAGCACATGCTTAACTTCTCTGCTAGGTGTTAGTGCTGCTCTAGTGCTTTGACACTGTTTACCCAGAGAAATCTGCCTCTAGTCTTGAAGCTTGAGAAGTTCAGCTCATTTCTGCTCAGGTCCACTCTGAACTGAGCTGGAAGCTATCATTATTCAGAGATATTCAGGCCTGCCACATTCTGTCCTCTCCATCACAGAGAGCACTGGATCACAGGATAGTCCAAGTGGAAAGAGACCTAAGGAAGTCCCTGGTCTAAACAGCTGCTCAAAGCAGGGACAGACATGATGTCAGATGAGGTTCATCAGGGTTTAGACAGCTAGGTTTAGAAAGCCTCCAGTGATGGAGAGCTGTACAACTTCTCTGAGCAACCTATTCCAATGCCTGACTGTCCTCACATAAAAAGATTTTTTTCCTTACAGCCAGTCTGGGCTACTTTTGATTTATGTTCTCATGCTGCACACAACCATGCAGATCTTAGCTCCATCTTATTCATGTCCTTCCTGTAGGTACGAGCAGGATGATATTTGATCTCTCCTCTGGCTGAACATGCCCCATTCCCTTTGTCTGTCTTCACAGGGCACGTGCTCCAGTTCCCTCACCACACTGAGGTTCTTCCGACTCATTTCTATGTCATTTCCTGTGTTCAAGACACAAGGTCTGATATCTGCTGCAGAAAAGGGGATCATCACTTCCTTCAATCACCTAGCCATGCTTTTGTTAATTCATCCTGGGATTCTGCTGGCTGCCTTTGCTTCCAGGACATTCAGCTGCTGCTGATCCAAATCCCAGCAGGAGGACACTCCTTGGCCAGACACTGACCAGTCCATGGTGCTGCTGCCCCAGGGTTTCTCCTGTCCAGGTACACGACTTGGCATTTGGACTGGAATTTCAGTGGATTTGAATGGCTCTAGTTGCTACTGCCTGTTTCCTCCAACTTGTTTAGGTGCCTCTGGATGGCAGTCCTGACTTAAGAGCTTGTGGGCAAGTCCTGGTAGTTGGCTGCAATCTCTGGATGTGATGATAAAAGAGTCCTTCAGCTCCTCCAGGTTACTGATAAAGATGGCAGGGGAGTTGAAACCAGATGAACTTTAAGGTCCCTTCTAGACCAAACCATTCCATGGTTCTAAACAGGGCAGGTCCCAGGACAGACCCTCATAGAATTCCACTGAATTCAAAATTTGACCACAACTCTCTGAGCCAATCACCTGAACATTTTCACCTGCCTGACTGTCCCCCTGTCCAGACCCTGACATCATAGCAGGATGTGAAGTTCCCTGGATGTGTATTCACAGCACATGAACCACTCCACCTGTCCTCATGCACACTTTTACTTCATGACAATAACCATGGAGTAAGAGACACGCTGCATATTCACATGAAGGCTGAGCTCATGGTCCATCTTCCATGAAGTCAAAGTAATTTGGATAAGCTGGCAGTAGGCTTGTAAGATCATTAGTTAAATTTTAATGAGTCAGGTTATAAAAAGCCTGGCAGAGGGGACCTTTGGTCTGAAGGGAACATTTTACACAGCCTGTTGGCCAGGAATGGAAATTCAAATAAAATTCAGACAAGAAATAAGTATATTTTATGACTGAAGAAATTAGGCCTGGAAACAGCTGAATGGTGACTGATGGGTTCTCAGCCATTTGAAACACTTAAACCAAGGTATTTCTGTGTTCATAAATACATACTGTGACCCAGAGAAGTTACAATGCACGATGCTAGAATTTTTACACTCAATTCTAAGTTAGATGTTCAAAATGATGTAGTGGTACTCACACTAACAGTTAACACTGTAGGAAATCCTTCTCTGTTTCTAATAAGCTGTTTATTTTCAAAACATATGAAAGAGTAACATTTTCATTGACTTCATGAGATTCCATCAACCTGTAATTGGTTTCCCTTCTGTTCCATCTTTCCTGCCTTTCCATTGTTCACAGCCACCTACCACTAGGAACAGGAGTATTTATCTTTCATGTTTCATTTTAAATAGCTGCAGATATTGCTGCATTTAAAAAGCCACATTAAAAATACTAAGATAACATGGAAATGTTTTTTTTTCCTCTTTACAGGATTAATGAATTCTACCCTCTTGAGCAGAGTTACCACTGGCATCTGTACAGCTCTCACAAACAGGTAAGATATTCCTTTTGCCTAAATGAATCATTCAATTAGAAAGGAAACCCCAAGAATTCACTTAGACAGATTGCACAGGCTCATCCTTCTCATCTTAAAATCCCTACAGTTGTGACATGTGTGAGAACATGAAGTGTAGGCTGAATAATTCTGCTTAGAACATGCTAATGTGATACAGACTCAAGTCAAATCTACTTTTTAGCTTTATTCTCACAGGAAAACTTTGTTTCTTATTCAGGGTCAAATTTTCATAAGAAATGAACATTCATTTTCTACATCCTTAAAAAAAAAACACCCAAAAAACCCACCCTCTTGGCATTCTGTACCAGAGGCTATGATTGAAATTTGTCTAGAAATAATTTTTTGGAAGCATTTTCCTCCCAGAGAGCAAACAGAAAGTTAGCCAATCTGCTGCAGAGATCTGTGTAACAAAAAAACTCTTGAAAAAAATGTAAATCACTACCTTTCAAGCACTTGTCCAAAACAATACAAACACCAGAGCTAAGACACCCAGAATGACAACAAAACAGGTATCAGGTAAAAGAAAGAGCCACCTGCCAGCTCTGCTAGTTTTGCTTGTCCTTCCAAGCTCCAAATGGGTCAAAGCAAGTTTTACTCAAATGAGGCCAGAAACCAAACTTCTCATTCACTATTGCAAGTATTTCCTTGCCCTCCTCTAGGAATCTGTGGAGTATTTAGATGTAACAACAGGCTACTGGATTAGAGGGATTTGGGAGACACAGCTCCAAACTCTTTAGTGAGCACTGCTTGAGCTGAGTTTCTCCAAACTACTCCTCCTCACTGTCAGTAACGTGTTTGCCCTCGGCCATCTGACACGATCCATCTTTCCAGAGCACACACGGACACTCCTGCCCACGGTTACTCACCCAGGGGAAGCTTTTCCAGCAGATAAAGGTAACACTTGAAGAAGTCGTTTTGGATTGCCTTGTGCAAGACAAAGGACATGCTGTGCCGACAGAGTTCTTCGTCCGTCTTGTGCCAGCGCGACTTAAAGGCCAAATGTGCTGCTTTATAAGCCATGATGAAGATTTTATTTGGGAGAGTGGACAGCTGCTGTGGCTGGTGTTCTCTGGAGGACCTGTCCTTCCGAGGGGGTAGAGGCAGTGTCATTTAAATTGTGGCAATGTGCTGTCATTCTATATCGGGGTGTGTGGCAGGGGGCGGAGGCGGGCGAGAGGGGAGTGAGAAATGCTGGCTCTTGGCACTGGCTCACAGTTATCCCTGGAGTGTCGCCCTCTGAAACAAGCAGGTGCTGGATTGAGGGAAAAAAAATAAATAAAAATAAATAAAAATCCACCAGGAAATGGCTTAGCCAGGGTAAAAGTATATCTGCTCCTAAAAGGTGTGGCTTTAATTCAATTGTGCTTTTCCTAATCTGTTCAGCTTTCACTTCAAAGGACTCAGATATTATCCAGAATCTCCCTCTTACATCTCGCAGGGTGATTTTGTTTCTGTGTCTCGCCCTCACTATAAGTTCTTCAGTTTAGGCCACTCAAGAGGAAGGCCAGAAGAAAGAACATAGATGTGCCTCCACACAAACTGTGAGTCCTAATTAACTGTGATTGTAGCAAGCAAAGGTTTCCCTTTTTCAAGCTGTTTGTTCCAGGTGTCTGCAGTATCAGTCAGGATAAACACAGCCAGGAAATTGGATATTCCCAATACCAACGGGAATGCTGCTACATCCCCAGCAGCACTGCAACCTCCTGACAAATATCTGACCACGTTTTTAAGAACAGCACAAAGGTGATCCAGCCTTCACCAAATAAAATAATTAAATTTGGTAAGAATTGTTAGGCGCAGTGAAACCCACATTTATTTTCCATAGTACAGGTCTCACCCAATACAAATCTGTCAGAAGAAAAAAAAAAACAGGGTTAGTTTTTTAGTTTGAATGTTGGTTATAACTCTTTTGGATAAATTAGTGGTGGGTTTGACTCACATTAGTCCTGCCCTACACAAAAAAAGTGAAGATCTCCAGAAGGCTGTATAAACACTACTTCTATTATTTTATGTGATCAAATCCCTGTTGCAGCTCTGTAATCTATGAGTTGCTGTGGGCACACCCGTGGTCCTCTGGTCCTAGTGCAGCTAAATGAGTGAATCTCAAAAGCACTGAGCCTTTTAAAGCAGTTTCAGAGCATTTCCTACTGCTGGCAAAGCTTAGATCAAACAGATTTGTGCCTAGAACTGCGTGATAGTGAGGACATAAATAGCAGGGTTGGGTTTGTTTTGGGGTTTTTTGTTGTGTTTTTTAATTAATTTTTTTTTTGGTGGTGGGGGGGTTGGTTGGTTTTGTGGGTTTTTTATTGGTTTTTTGGTTGGTTGGGTTTTATTGGATTTTTTTTTCACAAAGTGAATGCTTCATTTTCTATTTGTCAGCAGCAGCATATTGATATTTTCTGATAAGAACAACTCACAAAGTGGTTCATGCTGTCTCCTTCTGAACAGGAGTAGTATCAGTCTACCCAGAAGCTGTGAACGTTTCAAGCACTATTACACATCCCACACCTGCATTAACAAGAAGCGTGGGGATTGAGTGTGGGCACGATGACACCCATGCTACCTGTGGTGTGACTGCTGAAATGTGAGCAAACCCTCACCTCAACCTTAGTTTCCTTTCCCAAATGGCCATTTGACTCTTTCTGAAGTTGAAGCCAGCTACCCAGCCTTTTTCTTGGTGGTAGGGACCCTGGAGAATCCAGAGCTCTGGATAAAGTGGGGTAAACTAAATTAAAATAACAGTCTACATCCATAATGCCTCTTCAAGTCATTGGCTTGAACAGCTTTTGGTCTAAAATAAGAATGTGCTTGTATTTATGTGGGTAAGCAAATAGTTGCTCTGTGTGACTTCCTCTTCCTTCCTGTGAGATCAGGCAGCTCTGCAACAAGAGGTTTAGCAGAAATTAAAATGAGGGATCAGTTAGAGCAGCTTGTTAAAACACCTGCAGCTCATCTCTGCCTAAGCAACCCATTTAAAATAAGATTTCAGATGGCTTATGATGATTTGCTGCAAGATCCAAGGCTTGCTGCAGCATCAGGATATTTAAAGAGGAGTTGGACTTTTATATTAGTAGGTAACCACCTGTCCCTGAATGATTTGAGCTGTACATGCTACTTCTGAAACACTTCAGCTGCACAGAAGAGAAAAATAAAAACATGTGCACAAGCTCCACGTATCACAGAGATCACCAAGGGTCAATGTTGCCTTTAAATAACTGCTCTGCTTACAAAACACCTGGTATGCAATCTAATTTCCATACAGACAAGCCATCAGGACTGCTGCATGATATCTCTTTATCTTAGAAAGGCCTCTGTAGTCATTGCTCACCCTCACACTCATGCTTGGCATATGCTGTCAGGAATAGATGTGGTTAAAACAAGTCATTTTTGTTTTCTCTTTGACAACAGGTTTTGAAGAGGTCCAGGATGATGTTGACAGAAGAGGCACGGGCAGAGAGCACACGTGTAGTCCTGAGGGCAGTGAAGAGCAGCTGCAAGGTTGGATGGCAGCTGGTAACCTTTACAACTGCCTGCTGCCTGGATTGTTCTGGCTGCAGCTTCAGTGGCTCATTCAGAGCAGCACTGAACGCCCCTGTCAGGCTGGAAAACAGAAATATGACAGTGGATGCACAAATTGTCTGACTTGCAGAGGTCCAGAACTCTTAGTCACAATCCTGAACGCCGCTCATGGGTCCAATCAGATTTAGCAGTTTTCAAAATTATTACTGTGGAAATAATTTAGTTTTGGGTTGACTGTGGAATTGACAAAAAAAAAAAAAAAAAGTACTTTGGGTTGATGAGAAACTGAAATACTGCCCTTTTCTCACACAGAAAAAAAATTCTGTGTTGGGCCAAACAAAATGTTTTGGTTTGTTAGCAGGGCTATTTCCCCGCTAATTTTTTATTTGTTTATTTGTAATCAGATTCAGGTAGAGTTGGTTTCAGTCTATGAGTTACAAATGCAAACAAGAATAATGTCTCCAGCAGACCAGTCAGTCTTGCAAAATCATTCTGTGGCAAGGAAATGCAAAGCAAAGCAAGTCCTTGGGTAAAGACCCAACCTTGGGAGGACAGGACTTCTGATGTCTCAGGAGAAATCCTTGCTTTGAACCACATTTCCAAAGCAGAGTTCACTGCTTGTAGGTCAGGATGACTCACAGCCTTCAGGGCATATCCTGCACAATTCCCATGCGCTTTCATGGGTGCAGTCACAGCAGCAATCTGTTATCGTTTATACAATTGGAATTTAGCAATCTGGAATTCCATCTAAAGCAACAAAACACGGCATCTGAGCCCTATGGGTAAATATATTAAAATTAACGTAACTGAAATTGGCCAGAGCTCTATCCTTATGGAGGGAACACACACTTCTTCCCCTCTAATCCTTCTAGCCCTGGTGCCAACACTAAATTATATTATAAAGGGAGTGAGTGAAGCCACTCTTGAGCAGGAGAGGCAGCTTGAAGATCATGTCCCAAGCACAGTGAGAGTCCCAGCAGGACCCTGATTTGGAGATCCACAAACAGTATGCTAACACAAACAGCAATATTTGGGGAGGCCTCCTGAACACTTTGGCTGTGAGGGTTTTATTTGGATCTGGTTAGGGACGCTCAGTAGTGCTGAGGATGAAGGGAAGGAAGGGCAGGGTTCCTGATGAAACTGCAGCAGGGGCTGCTCTGTTGTTCTTGATAAGAAGCATGACAGCTGTGCCCACAACATCTGGTTCTCATTGAACCCTAGTGAGAGTTCCTTGCTGAGTCTCTTCCACCCCAGATGTGGTGGTTTAATTGATGGAGCCTGAGAAGTTTTTAGGTCCAGTGTGGAATGCCGCCTTTCACTGTGATATGTGACGCCAGATACAGTAAGGGCTGGGCTGCTCAGAGCCATCTTTTAAAAGCATTTAATTTCAATATTGAATTTTGAGTCTATTGCCCTCTGTTGGCTCAAGTGCAGGGTAAAGCTCCTTCTTGAGGTGAAAGCTAACAAAAATCTCCTCCTGGCTGAGCGGGGAGGCTTGTGGAGCTTGGAAAAAGAAGGATCAAGCCTGCTGTAGCCTTGTGCATGTGAGTGTGCACAGCTCCTGTGCCCCCACAGCTCTGTTTAAGAATGCAGGCACAGCTCTGACCAAGGAGGAAGGGGCTCTGGAAACTGCCTGCCTCGGCACACAAAAAGAAAGTTTTCAGGAGTGATCAGAGGGGATCGTGGTTTGGTGAGCAGGGATAAAGAGGATGCTGCACACTCATGAGACAGCACAAAAAGCAATGCAGAAACCCCTCAGGGAGAACTGGGCAAGTGGGAGATAAGTTAGCCTTAATGTCTTTCAGTTCTGGCATGCAACTGCCAGAAATGCTTTGGTGAAAAGTCTCTCAAGGATTTATTTTCAATTCCAAAGGAAAAGAAAGATGGCAACCCACACCATCAAAGCTCCTTCTGCACACAACACTGCCAGAAAAAACATGCCTTTCCACTTCCTCTCAGCTGGATCCTTCCTACCTAAGGCATGAGACTGGCCCATCTGCTCAGACCACAGAGCTACTGCCCAGTTACCCTGTGTCTGACAGCCACTGGCAGCAGATTTAGGAAACAGCCTAAATCCATTAGGTAGGAAATATGCTTTGGTGAGCTCTTAGCACTTCTGTGCTGCTCCTGCACAGAGCCAGACCAGGTATTTTCCTGAACTCTTAGAAGGTCCAGGCATGAAGCCCCTCCAGTGTGGGAAAACCAGGGCAGACGCTGGTGCTGTGACATGAAAGTGGTGATGTCAGGAGGGGACAGCCTTTGAGTGGAGTGTGAGCATCCTGACAAAAGAGAAACTCCACCTTGAGGAAGAAGAGAGTGCAATGGGTAACAACAGAGCTGTAGAAAGAAGTGCTGTGTGCAGACCACGGGCGAGAGAGACCATTTAACCTTCTCAATCTGCATCTCTTTTTGCAGAGGCAGAAAAGTAAAGATCCAGACTTTCAGATCTGCAGCTCTGTGGATCCCTCCCTGCTGTTGGCTCAGATGGCAAACATCATACTGGGTCTCCCTGATCTGAAAAAGCAGCACATTTCACAGCAGTGGTGGTGAACATCGTTTCAGTCAAAACTGTTAGAACTGAACTGGAAAATACATTGTTCTGTGAGCCACAGAGCAACATGAGAGCTTCTTTTAGGTCTGTGTCTTTCTGCTTCCATCTGAAATAAGCTCCATAGCTCCTCTCACTTGCCATCTGTTGGGAAAGATCCACCCTGGACACTGCCTGTGCTGCAGCCAGGCTGGACCTGCTCTGGGACAGCTTAGCCAGCAGTTCCTCTGTGCTGTCTGTCTGTCTGGAGAGTGTGCACAGAGGGACTGACCCCTCACTGCTGCCAAAGAGCTGAACTCTGCTTAACTCTCCCTCAGCACAGTCCTCAGCACAGGTCTCTCCCTCATCTACCTGGCAGCCAGAGCACACAAACCTCTAGAAACTTAATTAACTTGCAGACTCCTTGCACAGCTTTCAATGGTGACTGCACTTGGCCAACGTGTCACGAGGTTATTCAGGGGGAGGGAGAAGCAACCTGATGAATGCACGGATAGGTAAGGCAAGATAAAACTCATTTCCTCAGGAAGTCAAAGCAAAACGAGCTGAAAGGAAAAAAAAAGAAAAGTTGACTGTAGAGAGCAAATATGACAAGTGACCTTGGAAGACCTCTGGCACCTTTAGTTCCTGAGAAGGAGCAGTCTGGCAGAAGCCTGTGAGTGTGTTTGTGCACACAGCAGGGATGTGAAGGGGGGTCAGGAGCTGTAAACAGCATTTTTTGTGGATCAGTAGAAGTATCAGGAGTGTTACATCCCTTGCATTTCAGATACATTTCAGTGTCTGTGACATTGCTGGCTTGATCAGCCTTCATCCTTAACCTGTCTCTGAGTTGTGTGGAGTTTCTCAATACCAGGAACTCACCAGTTAAATTCTGTGCATGCCTTGAAACATTAAATTTACCATTTCTGAAACACTAAGAGATAAATATCAAGGGGCAAGAAAACTAGATTAAACTCAACTCCTGGACAGCATAAACACACAGGAAGATGGATTGCAGAGACTAAAACCACATCTCTTCGTGTGAAATACTGCTCTTACACAGAGGAGTGGCTCAAAATTTGCAAAACCCACCTCTGTTGATGTAGAAACCTCCATGATCAAGACTGGAAATTGTTTGCTTTGCATTGATACTTTCTAGATAAACTCTCAGACTAGAAAAATTCAAAAGTCAAATGTGTGTGTGTTGCACTTTGGAACCAAAAAATGATCAAGACATGAAAGGTTTGAGATGGTTAAATGTTTTCTCCAGGGGCTGGGGATTAACAGTCTGGGCAAGTAGCAGAGGAGGGAAATAAAAAAAAAAAGGAAAATAACAGAAGAAACTCTTAAGTGACCTGACAAGGGAAACTTAAATCTTATTTTTAAGAGGTTAGGTTGTACTAAAGCTTGAAAAATTAAATCCACAGCTGTCTCCAGAGGACTATATCTCACTGAGAAAGCTTCAAGTAAGTTTATCATGTATCCAACACCTAGACATTGGACCTCAGGGACCACTAGGATAATATTTCCTCTGGATTAGCAAGAAAGCTAGCAAGTGACATTTGTATGAGACTAACTTTTAGTTTAAGGGGTTTTCTTATAAAATGATAAATGAAGAATGAGCACACTGGGAAGGAAAGTTCATGCAGTTTGTAAATCTAATACATCCCCACTATTTGTTTAAAAATGTACTGTTATCTCCTAAATTAGTTTTATTTAGTGACATCAGTAATTTGATGTTTTTATGTCTGTCATCCTCCCAGTGAGGATCAATGTGCTTTTTACGAGCAATATTTTTAATCTCATAATCCCCTTTATGAGAAATGCTTTTAATTTCAGAGACCACAAGCACTGGCACTGAGACAATATGTATGAAAAAAATTCTAGAGTAAAACTGTAGGAAACACAGGATGGATCTGGCACAATTACAGTGCTTCCCTTCTTCTGGGATTCTTCACTACTAGCCAATAAAGCCCAGGATATGCTGGAATGCTACTAATTAACTCACCTCACTAGGCCTTGCCACGACAACTGATATGCCCCTGGGTCCCAGGGGAATCTCATGAAACATAAGAGATGCTCAGCTGGGTGAGCTAAGGACAACTTTAATATGCTAACTCTGAAATCTGAAATCCAGTAGCAAATTGAGTTCTGTACAAAATAAAACTCGGACATCTAAACAAATGCCAATGTTGGAGTTTTGTAGCACAAAGCACTTTTTGAAAAAAATGTATTTCACTTTTTCTGTGTCTATAAAAAACACACTGGTTTGAGGAACAGGCCATGGGTCCCCACAGCAAAATGCCAGCAGTCTGAGGATGGGTTACAGCAATGTAGCATTACCCTGTTCTGCCCACAAAGAACATCAGTGATAATTGTGTTTTCCAGCTCTATAGAAAACCCTCAGTTACACACCTATGTGCTTCTCTGTGCCTTCACAGATGCACATGTAGGAGGTGGAATGAAGAAAAAAGCATACAGAGCAAAATTAAATGGGGAAAGCGAAATAAAGGGGATGGCTTAAACAGCTTACAGATGGTAACTAAATTAGTTGAAAGCTGAAGGATTGTTTTTTCAACACACAGCTCAACAGCACTGTAAAACCTTCATTATTGTAACCCAGAAGCTCCTGAGAACCAGTAATTTCCAGAGCTGAACTCCTGGGCTCTCGTATTTTCTTACTCATGAGCCAGCCAGTCCCTGTTTTTTCCTTCCCTCAGTGCTGAAGGAATATTCTTCACCCCATGTTCCCTTGCACCTCTTGGGCCTTCTGTTGCCACCCCACACCATCACCATCCTCCTCTGACAGCCTCTTCCAGGTGCCCCAAATGCTCTCCTGCTTTTCCCTCACCAAGCAGGGCGAAGGGGCAAGTGCACTAAATCAAACCCAAGTTCACCCTCTGCTTGGTTCCTTCCACGATGGGAATAAAACAAATTAGCATCAGGACAGACCCTGGGAAAGGATTTACCCTACACTCTCCCACATTCTCTTTCTTAAACTCCTGATATAAAGGCTGGTAATAATGGAGAAGCATCAACTCATAAATCCTAAGGTAAGTCATTCCATGTGTTAAGTGCTATCCCACTAAAATTTTATGCTTTATTTCAGGTCTGAATTCATCTAGCTTGAATGCCTCTCCTTGTACTTCCACTCTGCCACACTCCTTATGTGCTTTGGCTACAATTATGTGGAAACAAATACAAAAGTACTGCAATCTGTAAAAACAGAAGATTTCCCTGATTTGGAGAACAATGCTGGTGTTGTCCATGAGAATTTAAGGACTTAACAAAAAGATTTTGGCTGTAAAGTGTTGTGCAAAATCTTCAGTTTTTTAAGGAAATAGCCAGTGTCTGAGGTATTTAGGATTAATATTGAAAAATTGATATTTCCCTCTTGAATCCATTTGAAATTACTTATGTCAAATGTCACCACAGCAACACCACTTCAGCTGAGGCACTCATTCCTTGCTCTCCCATTGCCTTTTTTTGGACAAAAACTGCAAAAAAAAAAAAAAACAATTTGATGATCACATGCAGAATCCTTTTCTTTTGAAGGGGAGGAATTCCTGATTTATGATGAAATATAGACTTGTTCAAGTGTAAAAGAGACCCCTCCTTGAAAACACTTTAGCTAGTGCTTAACTTTATTACTGTGGCAAAATTAAGCATGTGCTTGAGTGGTTGCAGAGTCAGAACCATAAAATGTCACAGCCTTTATAGCTATGAGTCTGCTTTCTGCCTGCTGCATCTAATAAACATTAAGAGGTGAAATTCTGTCCCCACTGGGGTCAGTGGTAAACTCTCATTGATTTCAGCAGAACCAGGATTTTGCACAAGAAATCCCCCTCATTGTCATTAGGGGTCACAAGATGACATGAACAGAGAGAGGACATCTGCTCCTTCTTGTGTGGATACTTCTGTATTTAATCTTTTCGGGCTGTTTGCCAGAAAATGAGGAGAAATGGAAAAGGCAAATCCTAGTGCAGCACAAACACTGAACATCCACAGCCAGAACATCCTGGCAGGTAGGTGTGGCACTTTGGGATGTGCTTTAGTGGTGGATTTGTCAGTGTTAGGTTTATTTTTGGAGCTTGATCCTAAAAGGCTTTCCAACCAACATGATTCTACGGTTCTATGACAATATACAACATGCTGCTCTGTGTTCCTCCCTGCAAAATTCCCTCTTAAAGGCCTGGTCTTGAGTCAGACACTGGAAGTCCATGTAGATGGTTACTTTACCACAACCCCAGCTCCAGAAGGAGCTACAAGGTCATCAAAGAAGATCAATCCCATGGAAGGCAGCAATTCTAATTTCAACAGGCCAAAGGAGAAACAGCACACTCACTCTACAGTGAACTCTTTATGCAGAGATCTGCTTCTTTTCACATCTTTGGATGTTTCTTTTTACATCTGAAGCGATGGAAACCTACAGGTAATTATCTTCCCTGGTTTGAATGAGTTGCAAAGTGACATATTAGCTCAGCACTGGATTAAATATATTATAAAATACAAGTCAAGTTCTTCATGGAGAATTTCTCCATTTTTGTGAAGTCTCATGTTCAAGAATTACTAAAGCACCCAGGATTTGCCAGCACAATCATGTGCAAGACTGAAAATGCCCTTCTCCTGAGCAGATGTCACTGTCACTGCTGATCAAAAAGGCACTCAAGAATCACCTTGATCTGTGCTCCAAGATTAATTCCATCCAGAAGAGTTAAGCCAGACTTTCCCTTTGTGTATCAGATTTTGCTTTGCTTCGTCTCACTTCCTCCTCCCAGTATAAACTTTTAAGCCCAGGGTTTATTACCTCCATTCCTCAATCCCTTACTGTGTGACAGCACAGCAGAACAACATCATCTCCATCCCCCCTGGAGCTGCACAGTCTAATCACCTAACATGTTTTCCTGGAAGACATCCTTTTCAGAGTGCTCCAATTTATTTTAGCTAATAAAGAGTCTTAAGGAGTTTTATGCACAGTTCATTTTACAGGGTCTAGGCAAATGTCCCATATTCATGATTTTTCCCTACAAAACCACTGAATTCTTTTTTCTTTTTCCTGAGAACAAGATGCAACCTTTGATGGATAGATCACAAATTTCAGGGTTGCTTTGGTTTCTCAACTCCACAAGACACAAGAGATTAGTCTATTACATTTTAACAATTCCATTTGCTACAGAAAAACAGTGTTGGGTTAGTTTGGTTGACTTTTTTTTCACAGTGATGTAAAAGAAACCAGTCCCAACACATTTTCAACATGCAGTCTTGTCATATACCAAAGTCTCGTTGAAGACAATGGAAACACATTTTTTGACTTAAAAATCACTGTTAGTATCAGTACTTTTCAATTCTAAGAGAATAAGCAAGAAGAAATAAGACCAAGTTCACCATGAGGCAATGTGGTGGGTGCTTCTCCAGTGTCACTGAGTGTATTCTGTCCATCTGGTTAATAACATCTGTCTGCAGCTTGACCAAAAAATATAAATTTGGGGGTATTTGCATAAAAATGTTGCTCCATCTGTGCTTATTCTACATATACAATATGAGAACACTGCACAGTTCTGTCTTTCCTCTTGTTTTTTACCCACCTGCTTCACTCCTTTTGCCCAACTTCTCCTCATGCAACTTCCTCCACTGTCCTCTTCCTACTCTGATTTTCTCTGTAACTCCCATGCTCTTTCACACTCTTCTTTACATTCCCTCACTACAAAAAAAATAAAAAAATCTCTTCTCCAGCCTGACTCCAGAACAATATTTATTACAGCTCTTCTAAGAAAAAAAAAAACCCAAAGTCACCCTCCAAAAAAGAAAAAAAGAAGAAACACAAAAATCTTGCACATTCCAGCTTCTGCTTGCAACTTGATCACTCTTCTGCCTCAAATACACCCTCTCTTTCCTCCTCCCAATATATAATTCTACCATGCAGGTGAGGGGATCTCCAGAGCCTCATCCCATAAACCTCATCACACTATGAGCAAAGGGATGTGAGGAATTGTGCAAAACAGCATCAGAAGCTCAGGGCAAGGGTGTAGAACAAAACCTCAGGCAGCACGTACTCTACAATTTAATTTTAGAACAATCTACCATGAAATACATGGGTTTTGGTGTTTATGCCACGTGGTTTTCTAAACCCAGCATCAGCTGGTTGTCACTGACCAACAGAATTGATCTTGGCAGTGCTGGTGGCTCAATACCTACAAAGCTGAGATATTCCACTTGGACTCTTCCAGGCTCTGCTGTCCCTTCAGGTCCTGACAAACAGATAATTTTAGCCCAAACATCATGGCACACTTTACTGGAATAAATGTCCCTTTAATCATATTTTTCAGTTCTCACATTCTTTTGTATCATTCTCATCTTGTAATCCTTGGCCTATTTTCCATAGGTGCCTAAAAGTAGACTCTGTTCACAGGCATATGTGACCAGATAAATAAGATAAATTCACAGTGAAATAAATGGAGATTGTCAGGCACTTTGTGCTATTTATATAGCTGCAGAGTTTAATGTTTGGCTTATGCTTATCTGGAGAGCTGCTGTAATCACTGGAGAATTATCATTCTGATTAGGTAGCTGTATTTTTGTTTCTTCATGACAATATTACTGTGATAAAAATAGAATAAGCCTAGTAACAAAGGTGTTATGTTCTAGCAATGTTCTGTAAATTCATTGCACTAAGGCAGCACTTCATATTTCACAGGGTACTTTTCTTTTTCCATTTTCTGTTAAAACAAAGGCAGGCACTGTGTGGATTCCACAAAATATTTCATTCTGCTCAGTTACAGATTATGAAAGTATAAAAATTCTTAGTCTTTAATGGGATCAGTAGACACTAAGTAATTATGCTTAATATTTTGCCACAATAAAAAAAAACAAAAGCTTTGTTGTCTATTATTTATTTCTGCATTACCCCTACAACTCTGGGTAGACAGAATTTTCAATTGTACGTTATGAGGCAGTAAAGAGTACTCCAGAAAACTACAGCCCATTAAAATCCTTTCTGAGACCTCTTGGATAAGATGCTGTTTACTTGTTCTTTAGAGTGGCTTGGAGACAAGATAAAGGGACAGAGGATTCAGGTGCTGGCTGAATGTGTAACTTTTCCAACATGATTTTGGATTTGCAGCCACTTTGCCTGAGGCTGGAGTTACAGCAGTGTCATCCCTGTGCTCTCTGTGTGTCAGTGACCCAAAAGGAAGATTTATGTTTCAAAACACCAAGGCTGCCTTAAGGCTGGGCTTAGCCAAGAGCTGGTGCTGAGGACCAGTGACTGCACACAGGGTCTGGAGCATTTCTTGATGAGGAGAAACTGTGGGAGCTGGGAGAGCTTAGTCTGGAGAAGAAAGGAGATCTCATCAATTCATATTTTGTCTCAAGGGCAGATGCCAAGAGGATGGTGCCAGACCATTTGTGGTGTCATTCATGGCCACGGATGAGGTGCGACAGCCATGAACTGAAACACAAGTTCCACCTCAACACGAGAAATTTCTTTGTGCTGAGCGTGATGGAGGAGGCTGTCCAGGAAGGTTGAGAATCCTCCCTCTCTGAAGGCATCCCAAACCCACCTGGATGCATCACCTGCTCTGGGTGACCCTGCTTTGGCAGAAGGGTTGGCCAGGATGATCTCCAGAGGTTCCTTCCAAGCCCAGCTGTGCTTTTCTGTGAACAAAGTCCCTCACTCCTGCTGCTCGCAGCGTCCTGAAGTAACTCTCACCAAAAACAACTTGTTGATTAATTGAAAAAACCATTTTGCAATTTGTCAGGAGGGGGCAGTGAAGCATATCAGTTTCAAAACAAGAAGCATTAAATAAATACAGAATACTTAGCGAAGGATACCAACCCACCTGCCTGTGCTGTAGTGAGGTCAGGTCACTTTTCACTCTCAGCCAAGCCTCTACCAGCTTGAACCGCGCAGCGTCTCAAGTTTAGAAACTTAACTTTTGGGTACATATTTATGGAGGGGGGGTGGGGTTGGGAAACCCCCACAGCTTCTTCGTTCATTTCCAGATCCCTCTCAAGCGAACAGGACGGGTTCTTTTCCCTCCCGTGAGGGGCCGGCAGCCGGCGGCGCAGCGCCTCCCCCGGACCTGCAGGGGGCGCTAACGGGGAGGGAAAGGCGGGAAGGGGG